AGGGGGGACCGGGATGGGGAATACATGTAAATCCATGGCTAATTCATTTCAATGTATGACAGAAACCACTGCAATGTTGTAAAGTAATTAGCCTCCAACTAATAAAAATAAATGGAAAAAAAAAAAAACCCAGCAAACTCACTGAATGCAACACCAGCAAATTGTGTTTGAAGTGGACCAGCACACCCTGTATGGCGGCCCCTGTGTGATTCTAAATGTCGTGAGTGCCATCTGCTGCCCAGATTGTGAAACGTCTTGTCTCTTCCTTTCTCTTCAGCAACAAGAAAGCTTGAATGCAGTTGATCCCAAACTGCATTAGTAGGATGTGGACCTGACAGTCTCTCCAAGGTTTGTGACCTCTTTGTATTTTAACTTCCATGATAGCCTTAAAAGTTAATACATACAAATGCCAGATCATCAGCCTCATAAAGGTTAATCATCAAACCAAATTCCAGGCCTTTGTTTTACATTTGTTAGGTAGCATATTGCTGGGAGATTATGTCCACTGCTGTTGTTTTAATTCTTGCCTCTTGGTGAAATAGATCAGACATGGGCTGACTTCTTAAGGAAGTTTTTATACTAAGAAGGAAAAGCCAAAGGACCCAGCTGTGAGCTCCATAGCAATTGTAGGAAAGTCTTGTTGGAATTACATCATTGTAGGGCTCACAGGGGTCTTTTTGTGGCTGTCTGTTTGGCTATGCCACACAGCAGGTGGAACTTCCCTGACCAGGGATCAAACCAGTGCCCCCGCATTGTAAGCACAGTCTTAACAACTGGACCACCAGCAAAGACCCAGGACTCACAGTGGTCTGAGCATATGTGACCTAAAGGAGTCTGAGACAGAACAGCAAGGAGTATATGCGCATTGCAAAGGCAGTTTTGTGGAAGCATCGTCCATCCCACTTAGTTGATAGAGGTTATTGATGTAGCTTTATTTGATTAACTTGTAATTTTGCTTTGCTTTTATAGTTGCTTAGGACTTACAAGAATAGGAAATGTATGCCTAGGGTTGTTTGAAATATTTAAGTTTCATTATATACAATGATTTACTTCTTCTAGCTGGTCCCCCTGTTTCTATCCCTCACCTCAGTAGACACACATATTACACACACATATACAGTATTACTTGTTGAATGAATTATGTCAACACAGAGAGTTTGCTAGAGTTTGCTTTCTTTAAAAAGGATCCATATATTACTCAATATTTGTCAGGTGTTGGCTGCACTAGAGCTGTGCTGTGTAACAAACAACTCCCAAATTCTAACGGCTCACAATAACCCTCTGTTTTTCTTGTCCACCAGCCTGCAGGCCAACTTCCAGTCTGTTTCCGGTGTCATTCACCTTTGAACAAGCTCATGCTCTACTTGTGGCAGGTGGCAGAAGCACAGGAAGCCCAGCTCCAGGTATGCACGTTTAAAGCCTCTGCTCACATCATCTTTGCTCACATCCTATTGGCCAGGGAAAGTCACATGGCCAACATCAACTGGACAAGGATGTAAATTTCTCCCACCGGGAAGTTAAGAGAAGCCAGGACAAGGGCCAGGAAGGAGGCTAGAGTTGTGGACAAATCCTATAATCTGTCACAGACTCACATTTTATAAATATTGCCTTTAGGAAAGGAATCATTTATATTCCCATTACTCCCTTTAAAAAGTATAGAATCCATCCATGGGGTAACTAAATCTATGCATTTGATTCTTTTTCTCCCATTTCTTTTTATATCTGTATATATATTTACATATCTGGTCTTAGCTGTGACATGTTAACTCTTAGTTGCAGCATGTGGGATTTAGTTTCCTGACAAGAATAAAAACTGGGTCCCCTGTATTAGGAGTGCAGAATCTTAGCCACTGGACTACCAGGGAAGTTCCTCTTCCATTTCTGAAGTCTCCATCAAAGTAACTAATTGATCTTAGGGTCAAAACTTCTAAATTGCAACAGGAAACCAGAAGAGGAGCAGACACAGGCCTAAACCTTAAAAGCTGGAAAGTTACAGACAAAGGGAACCCTGGAAGTTGTGCTGACCTTTCCACTGTCTGCTAAACGGGCTTTTAAGAAAAACCCAACTGGAAATGAAGTGATGGGATCCCAGGAAACCCGCTGCCAGCACCCAATGGAATAGGGTTCTGGCTGGCTGACCTCAGTCTCCCCAGAGCTCACCCTTGCACTAAGCCTGTGGGAAGCAAGCTCGGGTACACGGGCCTTGCTGAGAAAGGCTCCCGCGTGGGCAGCTGGGCTGATCAGTGAGCGGAGCCAGAACCTGCTGCTTTGGTCAGCCGACATGGGCATGGCAGGGAAACGCCCAACACCCAGGAGGCACTCCCAAGGCAGGGGTCTCCCTCCGTGGAGAGGGACCTGCTGCAGGGTCCAGTCCCCTCTGTAAGGATGAGCAGTCAGAATAATCACGAGATGTACAGAACGACTCCACAGTTTAAAAGAAGCAGCCCGTAGTGATCAAAACAGGGTGATTCTGACACTTGGGTTAATACATGAATGAGCTAGAATACAGGTGGTCCCTGGCTTCCGGTGGTTCAACATGACTTCTCGACTCCATGGTGGGACACAGAGAAGTGCATTCAGTAGAAAGTTGTTTTTTACTTCAGATTTTGAATTGTGATCTTTTCTGGGCTAGTCCTCTATAATAGGTCCTCTCTCGTGATGCTGGGCAGAGGTAGCTCCCAGTCAGCCGCGTGATGATGAGGGTAAACAAAAGGTAACACTTATAAGCATTCCATTCCATGTTTCACTTTCAATACAGAGTTCCATAAATTACATGAGATATTTGACACTTTATTAAAAATATTTATTGACTTATTTGGCTCCGCCAGGTCTTAGTTGTAGCACGTGGGATCTTTAGTTGTGGCATGCGAGCTCTTAGCTGTGGTATGTGGGATCTAGTTCCCTGAGCAGGCGTTGAACCCAGGCCCCCTGCATTGGAAGTACAGGGTCTTAACCCCGGACCACTGCTGCTGCTCTTAAGTCACTTCAGTCGTGTCCGACTCAGTGCTACCCCGTCCCTGGGATTCTCCAGACAAGAACACTGGAGTGGGTTGCCATTTCCTTCTCCAGTGCATGAAAGTGAAAAGTGAAAGTGAAGTTGCTCAGCCATGTCTGACTCTTCGAGACCCCATGGACTGCAGCCTACCAGGCTCCTCCATCCATGGGATTTTCCAGGCAAGAGTACTGGAGTGGGGTGCCATTGCCTTCTCCCTGGACCACTAGGGAAGTCCTGACAGTTGTTATAAAATGGGCTGTGTATTAGATGGTTTTGCCCAGCTGTAGGCTAATGTAAGTGTTCTGAGCACATGTAAGTTAGGCTTGATTAAGCTATGATATTCGGTAGAGTAGGTATATTAAATGCATTTTCGACTTAAGATGTTTTCAACTTATAATGGCTTTATTGGGACACAACCCCATCAGAAGCTGAGGAAGATCTATGTAATCTAGATACACACTTAAAGTATAAGGAAATTTAGCCTGTGACAAAAAAGATATTCTTTAAAATGAAACTCCAAAAAATGGATAAATCAAAAAGTGTGTCAGGATAGCTGACTAGTCACCTTCAGGAGAAATAAATCTGGATTTCCTACCTGAATCCTTGCACCAAAATTAATTCTGGATAGATGAGATAATTATTGTTTAAAAGTTAAATAAAGATACACTCCTGCTAAGTCACCTCAGTCGCATCTGACTCTTTGCAACCCTATGGACTGTAGCTCACCAGGATCCATGGGATTCTCCAGGCAAGAATATTGGAGTGGGTTGCCATGCCCTCCTCCAAGGGATCTTCCTGACCCAGGGATCAAACCCACATCTCTTACACCTCCTGCATTGGCAGGCAGGTTCTTTACCACTAGCACCACCTGAGAAGCCCATACAGGTACACATGGAAAAAAATTTTTAAATATTTAGTCATAGTGTGGGAAAGGTCTCTCTTAGCCCCACATCAGCCTCAGAACCCAGAAGAGAGGAGACCAGGGAGTCAGACCATCAGAGGAGGATCATTTTCCCGCCAAAGGTGAGCTGCTCAGAAGTTCCACGGAGCGGTAGATAGAAAGCAGGAAGCAGCATTTAGAGGGGCACCAGAGACACCCCGGGCTTCCCAGGCAGCTTAGCGATAAAGAAGCCACCTGCCAATGCAAGATTCACAAGAGACACTGGTTCAATCCCTGGGTGCGTGATCCCCAGGAGGAGGAAATGGCACTCCACTCCAGTGTTCTTGCCTGGAAAATTCCAGGGACAGAGGAGCGTGGTGGGTTACAATCCATGGGGTCATAGAGAGTTGGCCATGACTGAGCACACACACAGATACCTAGTGTTTCCTGCCCCGCCCATCTCCTCCTCTTAGAGAAACCCAGTGTCCTCCAAAAGGGGCTGCCCTGTACTCTGTGATCGTCCATCAGACCCATGCTGACTGATCAGAGGTTATTCCCAGGAACTTGGAAATGGACCCAGAGACACTGGCCCTGCTGGCTCTGAGGAGAGAAGCCTCAGGGTAATGGGGACCTAAGAGCTAGCGTGGGTACCTTGACATCCACAGATGCCACAGAGGGAGGCCCAGGAAGCTGGGGTGAAGCAGGGTATGTGCAGGAGCGGGGCGGGGGAGCCACCAGTTCAAGGCCACTGGGCCTCAGAGAGACGGCAAGGCTGGAGTGTAGTGACTCCCGTCCTCCGGAAAACCTTTTCTATGAGCACCCCCACCCCACCCCATGACCCAGCAATACACCCCCTTCTGCCTGCTAATCTTCCTTGCAACTTCATGACGTCGGGAAGATGCAGTTTATACAGACACGCACACGAAGAAGAGTGCCTCAGAAAGGAAGGGACAGACAGAGGCCAGTGTGCAGAAGGAGACGTCCCGCAGGCTCTGACCTGTGCAAGAGGGGCCTGAAGGAGCAACAGAAACGCCGCCTGGGACAATAAGACGCGCAAAACCAGCACACAGTGCCTCCGAGCCCACGGCAGGGACGCTGTGGGGGACACTTGGCAAAAGAAAACGCTCAGAAGCGGCCGCCAGAGGACAACAGGTCCTGCGCTGCTCCTGGTATTTTCAAGGGAGTTCGCGACGTGGAGAAAACGGCGATGTTCAACCCTTGAGCGATGTCTGTGAGGGCTGAAAACGCCAAGCCTAGCAGCTTGAAAGCGGCTGCGTTGGGGTCACAGAGGCCAGGCCCCTCCGATTCCAGGCAGGGGAACAGCTCTTCAGACTTTACAAGACGATCTCCATGGTGCTGATTTTCACCCCTGAGGGCAAGCGTGAAGAAAGCAGCACAGTGAAAGGACTCACCCTCAGATCTGAAGTTTCAGCGCCCCACCTTAGCGAGAGTGCTGTGTTGACGCCATTGGGCAAAAGTGGGGCCTTTTTCAAAAATAGAATCAAGCTGCACCGGTGGCATTTTGGGAAACAAAGAGACTTGCGTTTTGTTTTTTAATGAGTGCAGCGGTATAGAGTGTCTCAGGGCCACAGGCAGAAAGTCCACAATTAAGCCTCAAAGAAATGAGGAAAAGGAAACTAAGAGGCGCCCAGCAGGTCAGAACCACTGTCATCCCTGCTAGGATGTTTCTAGCCAGCGATGCTTGGTTGACTGGTCAGGAATCTGAGCTGAAAGGTGGTTTTAGTTGCTGCTGACAACTGAGGTGGGTGGGGGAGTGGGCCTCTCCCTTTCTGTACGTCCATCCAGGAGCCCCCAGCTCTGTCTCATCCTCTCTTCTCCTTGGTATTAGGGCTGGAAAGAGTCTTTGAGACACAGCCCAGCCCTCTATTCCTGTGTGGCCCTGAGATATTAATTTATGATACATCCTCCCCACATGTCCCCTCCCTCTTTTCTCCAGTTCAAGATGGTTTCAGGGTCCATGGCAAGACAAAAAGAGACTCAGGCCACGGGATCTTCTGCTTTTGTTTCCAAAATCTGTGCCCAGGATTAGGGTGAGTTCAGGTGAAGCAGTGTCCCCGGTCCCAAATTTTAAGGAGCCACCCAAACACTTAATAATCAAGATAAAGTAATATTCTAATGCAACAGTTTTAAAAAATCAAAATGAAAACCCTCATAAAAGCCACAGTTTTAAAGTTTGTACTGTTATATTTAATGGTTGAAGAGGATACCTCACTCCCCTCATCCTAACCCTAGCCCCACCCGAGGAAGAATTTGGAGGGTGTAGGGAGGGAGAAAAGAGTTTTCAGAGAGGGAAGGAGGAAGGAAGCATCTCCCTCAAACCAGACAGAGATTCTTCCCAGTTGAGGAAACAGGGTTCCTTAGGCCCTGGGAGCCCCAGGCCTCCACCTGGAGACCTAGTGAGAGGTGGATGCCGTTGTTCACTCGCCCAGTTGTGTCCGACTCTTTGCGACCCCATGGACAGCAGCACGCCAGGCTTCCCTGTCCTCCACTACCTCCTGGAGTTTGTTCAAACTCATGTCCACTGAGTCAGTGATGCCATCCAACCGTCTCCTCCTCTCTGGCCCCCTTCTCCTCCTGCCTCAGTCTTTCCCAGCATCAGTGAGAGGTTGGGACCCCAAAGAAGGATAATTAGTTCACCACAGAGGTAAGAATATGGACATCTGTACAAAGGATTTCCAGGCCCAAGAGTGGTGAGGGGGCACCCTAGAAGTGGGCTGAGACAGTGGATGTGTCCGCAGTGACCCCAGGCACCTGGTCACTAAAGGATGCTCACTCCCTAGGACTTGACGTCACAAGACCCCAGAACGGTGGTCCAGTGTGGAGAGGATGCCTGAGATCACTGCCCAGCAGGCAGCAGAATGGAGGGAAACACATTCAAAACACATTTCAACTGACAGCAAATAAAAGGTTGTATAACTGGCTTAGGACAAATGGTTTTAATATCTGCCAGATCCAGATTGGGAATCCAAAATCCAAAGGTTGATTAAGCAGCTTTTGCATCCAGATTGGAGTTTTTTGTTTTTGTTTTTTTATAAAAAAGACCAGATGAATCTACATTTGATGGAGAAGCATCAATTTCAGCATGTCAATTTAAAATGACAGCCTTAGTTTTAGGAAGAATGTTTATTAAAATCATATTTTCTGTTTCCCGTTACCTCCCTGATGCTCCTGCATAAATCTCTTCTCTCTGTCAAATGCCTGGCAGCGTTTGGTGACGGCTGATGAGAAATCAGAGCAATCTGAGAGCCATCTGTCTTACCCTCCCCACCATCACCTCCCACCTCCCACCAAAGTCCTTTCTGGAAGTTGGAGCCGAGAATTTATACAGCATGCTTCCTTCTATCCGATCAGGAGAGCACCCAAGATCTCACAACTGAAATTTACTTCCAGATCATGATGAAGTTATTGGCTTTCTGTTGACATAAATTACACGGGTACTACAATAGATGGAGCATCATTTTCTCTGTGTTGCCCAGTTTTTGTAATAGCAGCTGGATTTCTCAGTGTAATTTTTCTTAAGGTCAAATTTTCTCCTCCAAGTACAGTCAGTGATATGAAACGTGTCAGAACAAATCTAGATGTATCTTTATGTTCTTGCATTATTCAATTCCCAGATTCTATCAGGAAGGTAGACAAGGAGAAAATATATCATTAGCAGCAAAATAAATATCGGAGGCTATCCGTACAGTATCTGTGTAAAACAGAAAGAATACAACCCAGGGGAAAGAGAGAAATTTCCATTATTTATTCCAAATACCATTACTTGCTGGAAACCAATAGAGTTTCCACTGCAATTTACTTCCAGATTCTAAGACACCATTACCGCAAGATACACCCCAGGTTTAATAAGAGTTTTCAAGGAGGAAAAGGAAACTGTATTTAGTATTCATTAATTGTAAAATGAATTCCATTTGGAGAAACGCTAAAATGTGAAAAGTAGCCATCTTAGAATAGAGAAAAACAGGTAAGGAGATGCTAGCTCATTGCAACTTAGCCATTAGTACTTGCCCCAGAGGGATGGCCATGGTAATCCCACACAGGAACCAAAGACAAGATCATAAAACTTGAGATCAAGACACAGAAGGGGAGGAATGTGTTTTTCCAGGTTCCCTAGGTAAAGTGGCTTGAAGGGAGGAGCCATGCCTGTAGTAATAATAGGGTCAGATCCTATTACCTGTGTGATATGGGTCCTCAGTCTCTTGTCAGGGGAAATCAGGGACTTCTTTATTCATGCAACAAATATTTATGTGAGTCGAAAATTTTCCAGACACTGTTCCAGACACTGATGATACCTAAAGGAATAAGACAGAGAAGGTCCCTGCCTGCCTGGAGCTTAGATTCTAGCAATGCAAGAGGAGGAGGCAGGACACTCAGAAGTACGTGTGTGTGTTCAGTCACTCAGTCGTGTCCAGCTCTTTGCGATCCCATGGACTGTAGCCCGCCAGGCTCCTCTGTCCATGGGACTTTCCAGGCAAGAATATTGGAATGGGTTGCCAGGCCATCCTCCAGGGGATCTTCCCAACCCAGGGACTGAACCCATGTCTCTTGCGTCTCCTGCATTGGCAGGCTAATTCTTTACACTGCACCACCAGTAGGCAAACCAAATAAGCAAGGTCAGTTACACAGTGAGAAGTGCACCGCAAGAGTTTAAACAAGGATGGGGCAGCACCTCTGAGGAGGAGTGACTGAGCTGAGACCTAGAAGAGCTGGAAAGAAGTTGTTCCAGAGAAAGGAAACAGCCAGTAAAAGTTCCCAAAAGATGCATCACTAATTATTAGAGAAATGCAAATCAAAACCACAATGAGGTATCACCTCACTCCAGTTAGAACAGCCAGCACCAAAATGTCTACAAATAACGAGAGAGAGGAGTTTAAGTGAACCACCTTGGAACCTCAGAGCCTAACTCTCTCGTTTGCTAGCTGCATAACAAGTTACTTAATCTCCCTAAACTTTACTTTTCTTACCTGTAAAATTTACCTTCTAAGGAAGTTATGAGGATTAGATGAGCTTCTGTGTATAAAATGCTTAGAATAATACATAAGATATCTAGGTGCTCAATAAATTTAAGATTTTTTTTTTAAGTCTACAAATAATAAATGCTGAAGAGGGAATGGAGAAAAGAGAAATTTCCTACACTGTTGGGAATGTAAATCGGTGCTGCCACTGTGGACAACAGTATGAAGGTACTTTAAAAAACTAAAAATAGAGCTACCACATGATCTGGCAATCCCATTCCTGGGCATATATTCGGAAAAGACAAAAACTCTAATTTAAAAAGACACATGCACGCCAATGTTCGTAGCAGTGCTATTCACAATAGCGAAGACATAGAAACAACTTAAATGTCCATCGACAGACAAATGGATAAAGATGTGGTACATACAGACAATGGAATATTAGTCATAAAAAAGAGAAATAATGCCTTTGCAGCAACATGGATCAACCTGAAAATGAACATATTAAATGAAATAAATCAGAAAGATGAATATATGATTTCACTTATATGTGGAATCTAAAAAAATAATACAAATGAGCTAATTTACAAAACAGAAACAAGCTCACAGATTTAGAAAACAAAGTTATGTAGAAAATGAACTTATGGTTGCCAGAAGGGAAGGGACAGTCAGGGACTTCGGGAAGGTCATGTAAACACTGCTGTGTTTAAAATGGGTAACCAGCACATGGTGTGCTCAGTGTTACGTGCCGGTCTTGATGGGAGGAGGGTTTGGGGGAGAATGGATACATGTGTATGGTATGTCTGAGTTCCTTTGTTGTTCATCTGAAACTACCACACTGTTAATTGGCTATACCCCAAAACAAAATAAAAAGTTTAAAGTTTTTAAAAGACAGCAACAAAAAGTTATAGTTACCAAAGGGGAAATGTGGAGGGGAGGGATAAATTAGGAGGTTGGGATTAGCATATACAACCTAATATATATAAAATAATCAATAAGTACCTACTGTATAGGGAAATATATTCAATAACTTATATCTATATTCAATATCTTAATAACCTATAAGGAAAAAGTATACACACACACACACACACACACACACATATATATGTGGGTCACTTTGCTATATGTCTGAAACTAATACTATATTATGAATCACTACAGTTCAATTAAACAAAAAAACTCTTTCTTGTTGTGGCTTCTAGGAAAACACTCTGGTTGATCTCCTAACTCTGTCTGTTTTTCTCCTTTCCTGCCTTCCTGACCTATTCATATTAATGGGCCCAGGTGCTTCCACCCTTGCTCGCTACAATCTACTCCTAATACAGTGGCCAGAGTTACTCTTAAAATATGAGTCAGATCATGTTACTCCTTTGCCCAGGACCCTCCCATGGCATACTGTTTCACTTAGAGTAAAACTTCTTCCAGTCACCCAAGAGGCCCTTTGCAACCTGCCTCCCTTACCCCTCTGCCCCCAGCTCACTCTGACCTCCTTGCACACATTTGGAATACTTCTGCCTCAGGGCCTTTGCACCATCTCTCCTATCTTCCTGGAATCCTCTGTGTCCAGATATCTCATGGGTCAACCTCTGAACTTCTTCAAAGTCTGCTCAAATTGTCACCTTCCCAGAAAGACCTTCCCTGACCACTTCGTTTAAAACTGCAGCACTTCCTCCTGTCCTGATTCCTTTTTCTTTCTTTCTTTTTAGTTGCCTTTATTACCTCTTAATAGTACTTTATCATCTGTGTGTGTGTGTTCAGTCGCCCAGTCATGTCTGGCTCTTTGCGACCCCATGGACTGTAGCCTGCCAGGCTCCTTTGTCCATGGAATTTTCCAGGCCTGAATCGTGGAGCAGGTGGCCATTCCTACTGCAGGGGATCTTTTTGACCCAGGGATCAAACCGGTGTCTCTTGTGTCTCCTGCATTGGCAGGTGTGTTCTTTACTGTGGCACCACCTGGGAAGCTCACACTATCGTCCACCTGTTACACTTATGGTTTACTGTTTCTCCCTCCCAACCAGAATGTAAATTCCCCAGAGATGGGGATCTTTGTGCTTTGTTCATAGATATAACACAAATGCCTCTTAGGATATTTCTCGATGTATCTTGGAGTTCATTCTAAGGTCTCCCCTCTGCCTGAAGGGGACTGTTCCCCAGACGCTGAGTTCAGAAGGTCCCTCAAAGCCTACAGAACCTGGAGACAATAAGGCTGTCTAGGTTATAACCCTGGATTTGAAGCAGATGAGGTGGGTGTGGGGCTCAGTGGCCATTCCCCAGCTCTGTGATCTTCAGCAAGTCACTTCTCTCACTAAGATTCAGTTTCTTCATCTGGAACGTGAGGTTAATAATAATTGTTCCTCCTGCCATGCAGAAGAGTGGTGGGAAGTGTGGCTTTAGAGCTTAAATTCCTTATGCCTCCATTACCCAAGGAAATGGCCCGCTCAGCATTGGGTTATGACCCAAGGTCAATGTCCATGTTTGCCAACTGATCTTTGGGATAAAATATTGTTTCTGAGGGAGGACGCATTGTATTTTTTTTTTTTTTTATGGCCATGCTGCTCAGCTTGTGGGATCTTAGTTCCCCAACCAGGGATTAAACCCAGGCCCTTGGCTGTGAAAGTGCAAAGTCATAACCACTGGACCACCGGGGAATCTCACAGGTTGTTTTTTTTTTAATTTATTTATTTACTTTAATTGGAGGCTAATTACTTTACAATATTGTAGTGGTTTTTGCCATACATTGACATGAATCAGCCATGGGTGTTCCCCATGTGTTCCCCATCCTGAACCATACATTGACATGAATCAGCCATGGGTATTCCCCATGTGTTCCCCATCCTGAACCCCCCTTCCACCTCCCTCCCCTTCCCATCCCTCTGGGTCATCCCAGTGCACTGGCTTTGAGTGCCCTGTTTCATGCACCGAACTTGGACTGGTGATCTATTTCACATATGGTAATATACATGTTTCAATGCTGTTCTCTCAAATCATCCCACCCTCGCCTTCTCCCACAGAGTCCAAAAGTCTGTTCTTTATATCTGTGTCTATTTTGCTGTCTCACATATAGGGTCATCATTACCATCTTTCTAAATTCCATATATATGCGTTAATATACTGTATTGGTGTTTTTCTTCTGACTTACTTCACTCTGTATAATAGGCTCCAGTTTCATCCACCTCATTAGAATTTATTAAAATGTGTTCTTTTTAATGGCTGAGTAATACTCCATTGTGTATATGTACCATAGCTTCCTTATCCATTCATCTGCTGATGGACATCTAGGTTGCTTCCATGTCCTGGCTATTGTAAACAGTGCTGCGATGAACATTGGGGTACATGTATCTCTTCCAATTCTGGTTTCCTCAGTGTGTATGCCCAGCAGTGGGATTGCTGGGTCATATGGCAGTTCTATTTCCAGTTTTTTAAGGAGTCTACACACTGTTCTCCATAGTGGCTGTACTAGTTTGCATTCCCACCAACAGTGTAAGAGAGTTCCCTTTTCTCCACACCCTCTCCAGCATTTATTGTTTGAAGACTTTTTGATAGCAGTCATTCTGACTGGCATGAGATGGTACTTCATTGTGGTTTTGATTTGTGTTTCTCTGATAATGAGTGATGTTGAGCATCTTTTCATGTGTTTGTTAGCCATCTGTATGTCTTCTTTGGAGAAACGTCTGTTTAGTTCTTTGACCCATTTTTTGATTGGGGCCTTTATTTTTCTCGAATTGAGCTGCAGGAGTTGCTTATATATTTTTGAGATTAATTCTTTGTCAGTTGCTTTGTTTGCTATTATTTTCTTCCATTCTGAAGACTGCCTTTTCACCTTGCTTATAGTTTCCTCCATTGTGCAAAAGCTTTTAAGTTTAATTAGATCCCATTTGTTTATTTTTGCTTTTATTTCCATTACTCTAGGAGGTGGGTCATAGAGGATCCTGCTGTGATTTATGTCAGAGAGTGTTCTGCCTATGTTTTCCTCTAGCAGTTTTATAGCTTCTGGTCTCACATTTAAATCTTTAATTCATTTTGAGTTTATTTTTGTGTATGGTATTAGAAAGTGTTGTAGTTTCATTCTTTTACAGGTTGTTGACCAGTTTTCCCAGCACCACTTGTTAAAGAGATTGTCTTTTCTCCATTGTATATCCTTGCCTCCTTTGTCAAAGATAATGTGTCCATAGGTGTGTGGATTTATCTCTGGGCTTTCTATTCTGTTCCACTGATCTGTATTTCTCTCTTTGTGCCAGTACCATACTGTCTTGATGACTGTGGCTTTGTAGTATAGTCTGAAGTCAGGCAGGTTGATTCCTCCAGTTCCATTCTTCTTTCTCAAGATTGCTTTGGCTATTTGAGGTTTTTTGTATTTCCATACAAATTGTCACACATTGGTTTTAAAACTCAGAGATCCTGAGAGCATCTGGCTGAAGTGGAGAAGGAGTGAGATTAAGGTACTCCAGACAGAATAGGCCATGCTCACAAGGGTGGAGGAGAGCTGTGCATGCCATGGTCAGGGGCTGCTAATATGGGAGAGCCAGGTTTTAAGAGAGTGAACCTCTCCCAGAAGTCCTTCATGGGCCCTCTGGGGACTCCCAAGCCAGCACTTTCTCCATTACTCCATCTTCTTAAAGAGTGATACGTGGAATTATTTCAATGATACAGTTACATTTTCAGATCCAGTTCCTTGGGCTCATGAGGTCCGTCACAGGCCATTGAGTTTCTGTTCAAGCAGCATGGTCTCCTTCTGTATCTAGTTACCAAGAATCTTATCAGAACAGAAAGTAATCCCACGTTATTGTCCCAATTCTGCCAGTCACCTGGGTCCCTGTCCATCCCATAGCTTGGTGTCTCAGACTATATTTCCCTTTTAACAAAATGGTACAAGTTTACACCTGTTGGATCTTTTGTTTTATGGTATCTTACTGGCTTTGTTTCAGGTTTATAAGTCTGTAATTTCAGGCTGGGCCCCAGGTGTATTTCTGAAATATAATTGTGTGTTTTGTATGTTTGTGGGTGTGCAGGCATGGTCTGTGGCTTTGAATCTGAAGTTTAAATGGTAATAATAATAATTGGCAATTAATGATTCAGATTAAAGGAATAAGATTTTATTGATAAAAATAATAACACTGCTCACTCTTTATTGAGTGCTTGGCTTTTGCCAGCCACTAAATTAAATTGAGGTAGGGAGTATTTAGAACTTCCCAGATGGTGCTAGTGGTAAAGAACCTGCTTGCCAATGCAGGAGAGAGTCAAGAGGCACAGGTTCAATCCCTGGGTTGGGAAGTTCCCCTGGAGGAGGACATAGCAACCCACTTGAGTATTCTTGCCTGGAGAATCCTTTGGACCGAAGAGTCTGGCGGGCTATAGTCCATGGGATCTCAAAGAGTCACACACGACTGAAGCGACTTAGCATGCATGCACAGGGAGAATTTAAGGGTGAAACAACTGATCACACAAAGTCAGGGGTGGAACCAGGTTTCAAACACAGGTGGATTTATTCAGGAGTCCGTTTTGTTCTTTTTTCTTTTTTTAATGTTTGGCTTCTTGGGCTTTCTCTAGTTGTGGCAAGCAGGGGCTGCTCTTTGTCGTGGTGCGCAGGCTTCTCGTTGCTGTCGATTCTCTTGCTGTGGAGCACGGGCTCAGTAGTTGTGACACATAGGCTCAGTTGCCCTATGGCATGTGGGCTTCTCCCAGACCAGGGAGCAAACCCATATCCCCTGCATGGGCAGGTGAATTCTGATCCACTGGACCGCCAGGGAAGTCCAGTCCATTCTGTTCTTCACAAGCAGTTTTTGCATTCTGGTGTTCTCTCCTCCTCCACTGGTCTTGCTCCTCTTCGGTAAAGATTCCCAACTCTTTGCGGCCTCAGCTCACTGGGGGATGAGGCTTCCTGCAGAACCTGCTTCCTTGGCACATCCCTGGTTTCTAATGCATGCTGCCCAGTTCTCTGCTGCTTACTGATTCCGGCCCAGCGATGTCTCCAGCCACATCGTGGGAAACTGCGCTAGGAGAAAGCCCACACTCTGTAGACAAGCAGTCCAGGATTCTCCCACCCTTCCCCATATCTCCCTCCACCCCGATTCCTCACACTTCCTCCCTTGCAGTTTCCCCTTGAGCCAGGCTGAGCAGAGTTCTTGAGAGGTGCTGCTGAGAACATGCTCGTCACCTGAAATAGGCCATTTTTTTTGCCTCCCATTCCACATCCCCCAGGAACCTTCTTGTACAAGGCAGGGTTCTTGGGTTGCCTGCAACAGAAACTGACCCTTGAGAGAGCTTATTGGAATAACATGGGAAGGCTCAGAGAGTGTACAGAATCTGCCATGGTGAGCCCCAGAAGAAGGAATTAGGACCCCTGAGGAATCTGGGTAGCAGCAGTTAATGAGTGATTCCTTCAAGGAACCTTTATTGGGATAGATTTTCCACCCTTGTGTTCCTGTGTTCAAGGTCCAGTTTCCTGGAAGAAAGAGTGTGAATGGCCTGCTTTGGGTCACTTGACCACACATATCCCTTGGCCATGGCACTTTGACTGACATTTGCTCCAAGATTCTGTGCCATGGGTTGGGGCAGTTTCCCAAGGATAATCAAGGAGGTGGAGGAAGGGATGCTGAGCAGATGAGATCCTAGATCACAGCCTCTCCTCCCTTCTCCCTTAGACCCACATTGCTGTCTTCACTCATGATGGTCTATCACCCAACAGTCTTGCCTAGGCTTGTTATTTAAGTTGCATGCAGTAAAATCACACCCATAGCCATCATTGGGCCTTACACTGTGACTTTGTCTCTTCTGAGAGAGAAACTTCCTCTCTTAATCCTCTTGTTTTTTTTTTTTCCTCAGAGAGGAGAATGTTTGCTTCTAGGGTAGCGAACATAATCCTCTTTTAATGGTTTTGGGGTTGGGGTCACAGATTCCAGTGTACCCAGAAAGAGGCCAGGTGGGAACTGTCAACAGGGGCAGACAGTAGGGAGTACTGGGGACTGTGGTAAACTGGAGGGCTGAGCCCAGCGTGGCCCCGATGAGACTCTTACAGTGGGGGCCAAACAGTGTACAATGGGCGGTCGTCTGTGAGCGCTCTTAAGACCAGTGAACCATCAATGGGTGACCTCTACCAGTCATTAGGAACAAGTCAGAGAGACTCTTCAACTTCTTCCCCTTCACCCTGCAGCGTGGCTTCCCTGAGGCCATGTGACAGCCTTGTCTGCTTCAGGGGAGGCAGGGGAGAGGAGGAGACCCCCACTGCAAAACGGAACACAGGTTAACACCTTAAATATTACCCAGCAGTAGCCCCGTTTGGCTCGGGTAGAAACTTGTCTTGGGCTAGACTACATCAAATTGCTATAGAGGCTGGCTCAGACAAAAGCTGCCTTTGACCATTGAGAGAGGAGAGTCTGGGTCAGAAGGATCAATTTTCTGATGAATCAGTGAACAATCCTGAGTGGAACTAATCAGGCTTGTGCTGCGTCACCCTTTCTTTTTAACCCGTGGTGATTTGAAATCTGGCCGCCCTCCTGTGTTTCCCCTGCCTCGTCTTTTTTGCCTTCCTAACATATAGGCAAACACACTGTGTATATCTGCGCGCACACACACACACACACACACACACACACACAAGAAGAGGACGTAGAAAAGTACATTTTAGGGATAAGAAGGCTCAGAGAGATGCTAGAGGCTTCCTGGACAGGACTGGAAACAGAGAGCTACAAGGGGATGACGACCAGTGGAAGGAATTTAGCTCTCTGCCTCCTGGGAATCGAGAAGGTCTTGGGGAAACAGCCCTGGGTAACAAATTAACTCCGAATTCCTGGGGGATTAATGGGTAGGGAGCATTCCTAGCAACTCTCCTAGTTACTGAAGCCAAGGGAATAAGGAAGGGTAATCAATTAGTTTTTCCCTCAGGATTCCAACTGATATTCTTCCACGAAGCATTGGGTCATATCTCCATAGCCTTTGTAGGTCAGGCCTGGAATACCCATCAGACTAGTTAAGGTTATCCTGGCTTCAGGGAAGACTGATGCACTTCGACTGACTTGAACAGAAAGGGGGATCATTGGAAAGCTCCTGAAGGCTTTTACGAATTCAGAGGGAAGCCGAACACCCACAGCTCAGCAAGGGGAAGACAGTGGTTGTGTTGACATTGATGGGACTGTCTCATTAGGCTCTCAGCTCCTTGGGGAAAGAGCATATTATGGGCCCTGTGACTGACCTTGGGCTCCCTAGAAGCAGAAGGGTGCTGATGCAAGTGATTTATTGGGGGGACACTCTCAGGGGAAATCTGATAGGCAGTGAGGGAAGCAGGACAGAGTAAGAGAAAGAGATGCAAGTCTAGTTTCAGGCTGATCTCACTGTGGAATCTGGAGAGCGTACAGCCCTGCAGTTACCCCATCTCAAAGCATGGAGCCGCTTGCATACCCCCATATCCATCAGTTATTGACCGTGGGCTGCCTTCAGGAGCGGGCGTCATTTCTCAAGCATTTTGGATCAAGGAGATTCAAGAGAAGGGGCCACTGTGAGCTGTTAGCAGCCAACGCGCACAGCAGCTGGGGGATGGTGCCCCACCCAGGCAGGAGGAGCTGGGCAGACCTGCATCCATGGCCCTGGTTTGGGTGAGGTATCCACATAAGAGCAATAAGCCATTGAGAGAGAGAGAGAGAGGCAGAAATTTGAGTCTGGACATGGTTAGGGGCTGTTTCAGGGAAAAGTAAACAAAAGAGGATCAGCCATGCCAAAGGTGTCTAACATGTCCACTTAAATCACTTCTGCTGAAAATGTCCTTCTGGCCAGTAATTGATATCACTTGCCTGACCTTTCTCTGTATGTATTTGAATTTGTGACCCCAGGTCTAAACCCTTCAGGAAGATTTTTGTTAGGTGTCTAGGTATGTACCCCAAAGTGGAATCTGTAGGTCAGCGGGTGTGAATGTGTTGCGCTTTAGCAGACATTGCCAAAGAACTTCCCAGAATGACTATACATTTGACGCTGCTTTTAACAACGCATGGAAGTTCTAGTTGCCCCACATCCTTGTCAGTGCTTGGTGTTGTCTGTCTTTTTCATTTTAGCTCTTCAGGTAGGCATGTAGTATTCTTTCAGAGAGAATTTAATTTGCATCTCTCTGATGACTAGTGAAGTCAAGCACCATTTCATAAGTCTTTTTATTATTGACTTATGGGAACTCTTTATATATTCTGTATATGGTTCCTTTGTCAGATATATATCTAACAAATGGTGTATATGTATATTTATGTGTGTATGTTTATATAAACAGATAAGATAGGTATAGATATATAGATTTATAGATATACATACATAAAAACACATGCAGAGTGAGAGGAGATATATGTGATTTATACATACAAATATATTTATTATATATTACATATAATTTTGTATTTGATATAAACATGAGCGTATAAATATTAAATACAATATTTAATACAAATATATGTATAACACATATAAATTTGCTTATATAATTATTAATTACATAAATTTAATGTATTATATATATATACACACACACCACATATATTTGGGCTTCCCTAGTAGCTCAGCAGGAAAGAATCTGCCTGCCAATGCAGGGGACATGGGTTTGATCCCTGGGTCAGGAAGATCCCCAAGAGAAGGAAATGGCAACCCACTCCAGTATTCTTGCCTGGGAAATCCCATGGACAGAGGAGTCTGGTGGGCTACACCCATGGGGTCGCAAGAGTCAGACACAACTTAGCAACTTAACAACGTATATAAGAAAATCATATGTATCTTCCCTCACTGTGACTTGCTTGAATTTTCATTTTCTTAGACATATTTTTAATGAATACAGACATTTAAATTTAATCTAGTTCAATTTACCAGTTTTTTCCTTTATATTTCCTTATATTTTCTGTACCTTATTTAGAAAATCTTTGTCCATGTCATGGTTGAACATTCTCCTATATTTTTCCCTAAAAGCTTTATTGTTTTATCTTTTATATTTAGAAACATAATTCATCTGGAATTTATTTTTTGTGTTGAATTAGCAATCGAGGTGTCTTCCACCACCCCTATGGATAGCCACTTATTCAGTACCAATTATGGAAAAAGATCGTCGTTTCCCAAAAGGACTACGGTTATGCCATCTGTCATAATCTGATGGTAATATATGTATGAGTCTGCTTCTGGCCTCTTTGTTCTCTTTCATTGGTTTATTTATTTTATATGCACATGCCAATATCATAGCATCTTAATCACGATAGCTCTGTACTAAATCCTCCGATGAAAAAAAATAAATCCTCGGGTGACTGACTTGTCATCGTTTTCCCAGGACATTGCAGCCCCCCACTCCCCACATTTTTATTGAGGTATAATTTGACATATAACACTATATTAGTTTAAGGTGTACAAAATAGTAATTTGATATATTTAACTTTCTAGGTTTTAAAACTGAAAGCATTGCATCTCAGAAAACCCCTCAGAACTTGGCAAACTAGAATAGTTGGCCATCCTAGTAGACTGCAATACCTGGTAACGTAGATCCTCCGAATTTGTTTTTCTTCTTCAAAATTGCCTCAGCTATTCTTCACCTTTTGCATTTCTTTATAAATTTTAGAGTCAGCTAATCAGTTTCCACCAAAATAAAAGCTCTTCTGAGACTTTCACTGGGATTGAATTAATTTATAGATAATTTTAGGAAATTGTTTGTGCATCTTTTGTCAAATGGATTCCTATAAATTTAATGTTTCTATGCTATTTTTAAAATTTTTTTGATTTTTTAAATTTTTTAAATTTCATTTTGTTTTTGTTGTTATTGTGTTGCTGATACAGAGATAAGATGAAATTTTGTACATTGACCCTCATTCAGTGACATTGCTGAATTTACTTATTGATTGCAATAGTTAATAGATTTTTTGAACATTATGTATATACAATCACACCTTCTGTTAAAAAATGATAACTTTTTTATTTCTGTACAATCTCTTTGGCTCTTTCACTTTTATCTTAAGATTCATACTGGCTGAAA